AACAGGAGCTGCCCGAGGCCACGCGGCAGCGGCGGAGCGCACGCCAGAGCCATCTCTCCAAGGCGCGCTTGCCTTCGCTCTGCCCCGTGTTTGCTGCGCGCTCCTCTTCCTACCTCTGCGTGAGCCGCTCCAAGGAAGATGGAAAACAACTTAAAAAGATGGTGCTTAGGCTTGGTAACAGAAACAAAGTTACTATCAGGAAACTGCTAATTGTCCTTTCTTTTTAAAGTTACCTGTTTAGCAGTTGCATGCTGACTAAAATAGACCACAGTTCAAAGCAGAACATAAGACTAGCATTGCTGCCTTTAACCCTTTTCTGGACTAGGACAGGGCATAAATACATAAATAAATAAATACATTCATAAATGACATAAATATGAAAAGGCACACACATGTGACATGGTCGGGTTTGGGGAATATATTAATATACTCAAACCCCCACCCAGGATGCCAAAGCTGAGTTCTAGGAGGGAACAGCACTGTCCCCACCCCCCTCGACCCCAGCCCATTGTCCACAGCAGACAAAGCCCAGAGCGCAGGGCTCTGTTCAACAGCCAGCAGGCACCCGGGAGTGGCGACAGTCAAGACACACCGGGGACATGCTGGGGACACGTGGGCTCCCTCCTACTGGTCCACCGTGCCCTCCCTGGGGAAGGCTCTGGGACAGCCAGCTGCAGCCCCAGGAGGTTCCACATCTCCTTGCTTCCTGGAACTCGGGCGCCCCAGGGCTTAGCAACACGTTTTTATATAGTGCTCTGATTTCAGGAGACTTGCTGTTTCCTACTCTATCAGATCCTTGCCAACAACAGAGGGAGCTTTAGTCAAGTGTGTGTCACTCAAACCAGCAGGAAGGCCCTCAGAAGCTATCTGTCCACCCTGCCTTCAGATTCATGTTTGGTAGCTGCGATGCCTCAAACTAGGCTGAACCTCTAGTCGCTGGGATTGTGAAAACATCACCAAACCCTGGCTAAGGCCGCTGCCCGCACAGCACACTGCAGGCCAGAGCGGGCCTGCTCTTGGCATCATCCTACCCAGCAACTCCTTCCAGAGACCCGGGAAAGGTGGCTCAGTGCCTCCGAAACTGGCTTCACTGGGCACACAAGCCTGATGCCCAGGCTGGTCCCTGGCCTCTGTGCAACCCGAAGGTCGCGCCCGCGGCGGGACTCCTGTGCCAGCTGCACCCAGGCGCGGCTTTCCAGGAGGTCCAGAAGGCAGGGCCGACTCAGTGCGCTGCGTGTCTGCATGGCTCCCCTGGGCCACAAGGACAGCACGAGGGGACTCAGAGCTTGGAAAGCTTAGAAGTAAGGTGAGCTAACCACCCACTCCTGACACCTCTCTCAACCCTACCAAGAAGGTGACAAGCCACTTGCAGCGACATGAAGTCCCCTCCAGTGGCCCAGTCCACCTACAGGCAGCTCCAGCTTCCATGCAGCCACCTGATGGTCCAGGCAGAGCCTGAGCTCCCCAGCTCCTGCCGCAGCCAAGACCAACTGTGGTCCTGGCCCGCACCCCGCCCCTGGGCTGACGCTCAGACTGTAATGTCCCCCCCACCACCCAGTCACCCACCACCCACGGCTCCTCTCCTCGCAGAAGACTCCTGACTGCAACACGACCAGAACCCGGGCTCTGCATGAACCCAGGCAAGCAGGTTCCCGGTCCTTCCGGAGCTGCATGCAGGCCAGTGCCAGGCCTCAGGCCACCCACTTACCCCACGGCCACAGCTCATAACTGGGGAGACTCTGACAACTGCAACTCCCCTCTGAGTCATCCGATGACTACCCCCGCCCCAGAACCATTCATGAGACACAGGTCGGCTTGGCTTTCAGCACAGAGCCCACCATGACATGTGAGGTTTACAATTCCATCTGCAGGCCACAGAAGACACCGACCAGAGCTGCCTATCTGGTCAGCTAAAACACATCAGGACATTAATAATTAAATAAACCCATACCATCAGTTCAATTGTTACCAGTTCGATTTCTCTTCTTGCAGGAAATCTAGACCCAGATTTGAAATCTGCCCGGCTTTGAACAATGAAGGAACACCATGGCTCCACACATAGTCCTGAGGCCTCGAGTCACCAGAATGGTTTTCCTGGCAACAGCAGCTCCTGGAGTGCCCTGACACTGAGGCGCACTGGCCACAGCTGGCTGCACGGCCGGGCGAAGTGAGCCCAGGCCACAGTCCCAGCCGTCAGATGATCACTCTCTCATCCCCGCCCCCCCTCCAAACCCCCCACTGCCCCCGCAGGTCAGGGGAGACCTCTGACCTCACTGCTAAGCGCTTTCTTGGCTTCAAGAAGCAAACAGGAGACACAAGGCCCAAAACATGAAGGCAGTCAAGCAGCCGCCAGATGTTCTGCCCCTTGGACACTGAGCAACTGAAGGCTTGGCCCATCCAGAGGCCGCTGAGTCCCACCTCCCGGTGTGCAGGGACCAGAGAGGGCGCCGCAGGTCTTGCCTGTCAGAATTGGCAGTGAACGCTGGGGGGCAGTCCTTGGTACAAATGTCGGCAGTCGGGCACTGGTGAGTCCGGCGTGGCCTCCTAAAGTCAGTCACTGTCCGGGAGCTCCCCGGAGAGGAGTGGCAGAGAACTCGGGGGACCTGGGCGTGGGGCTTAGAACTGCGCAGTGCTGTGGAACTCAGCGTGACCCCCGTCAGACTGTGAACAAACGCAGGGACTGACTTCGAGACAACACAGCCAATCTGTGTGTCCAGGAAACCATCCTTGAATAACGGCAATTCATATGACTCTCCCACCACAGGGAGAGAACACCGAAGTGGCAAGGAAGGGGTGCGTGTATGACAAATGCCACATGTGAGCCCCGGGGCAGGGGAAAAAACTAGCAAGTTCATGAACAGTGTTTCTGTACTCCACTTTTTTACCAAAACTCCCTTTTCATTTAAGTATTAGAAGGCTTGACTCAAATAATTACACTGAGAAGTAAAATATAAACAGAAGCACAGTTCTGGAAAGCGCTAGACTTCCCTCCTGGGAGTGTCAGCAGGCCTCCGACCTCAGCCCATTTCATTAATAAGCAGCTGTGGAAAATCCAAAACGGGGAGAGTGAGGAAGGGCAGAGCCACGTTCCGTGTGAGGCCCTCGGCTGGTGATGACCCCAGGACCGTCCAGCGCCCCCAGTACCTGAGACGGGACCCCAATCCAGAGGACAAGGCCCTCCGTCTCTGCTTTACCAACAGCCAGCCGTGAGGCGGCCAGCACAGTGTGGTTCACAGGGCACGTCGGGTCAGCTTCCGCACAATCACCCTTCCTCACTGCAGTCAGCCCGCACGTGGCTTCTTTCTACTCGTACAGCAGGAACTTTTTGATGGGGTCCGGCAACGGCAGTGACGGAATCAGGTGGAGCCGGTATTTGCCAAGAGCTCTTCTCACGGCCACACGGCACAGATTCAGCAAGGCCCTCGGGACACCTGGAGCACGTGGAAAGAAGGGAGACGGAGGAAAGAAGGTTAGTTCCTTCCCTCACTCAGGAGGGAAGGCGGCTGTGACTGACGGGAACCCCTGCACACACGCTCCTGCCATCGTCCCAATTCTGGAGCGAGGAGAGCGGGTGAGGAAGGCCTTGTGATCCACTCCGTCCATCTGCGGAAGGAGCAAAACCCTCATGACCGGCGGCACCTGCTCAGTGTGACAACACCCCCTCGACTGTTTACATCCCTCAACAGAGAACTAGCAGTAACCCCCGAAAGCCCTGGCAGGTGTGAGAACTGCCCCCTGCCCTCTGCCAGCCTCTGCTCTCCGTCAATCCCAAAAGCCCTCAGGGGGTCTGGGAGAGCCGGGCCCGAGCAATACATGAGAAAGGCAGGTGACAATTCTGCTCCAGGTCAAAAAGCCACATCTCTGCTTCATGACACAGGCATGAACACAGGCAGCTTCATTCTATCAGTCTGGCTCCAACCGACCATTAATCAGCTCTTTTGGGAAAGGCTCAACAGGAGCCATGTTTTAATGGCTGGTCCTGGGAAATCCAACAAGAAAACCACAAGACACTGAAGTTCTGTGAGAGGTAAGGGTTCAGGAGGAGATTGTAAATTCAGACGTCTTCCATAACCACGGGGGAATGGGCCGGGTGTGCGCAGGTCACAGCAGCGCTCAGCTGCCTGCAGAGGGCGCACACGCTCGAGGCCTGAGGGGGAGGGCGCTTCTCACAAGACCACGCCCATCAGCTGCAAAGTCTGGCTACCAAGTGATTAATTCATCAGCAAAACCTCTCTTCATAAATAAGCAAACAATGGACTTTAACAAAAATTAGACTTAACACACAATCCAAGGTAATGGAATCATATAACCCCTAACCAAAGCAAGGGAGTGGGAAACCCTAGCCCAGGCGTCGGCAAACTTTTGTGATGGAAGAGCCAGTCCTGTCCCTCACAACAATTTAAAAATTATTCGAGAGCCATAAAACAAATGAAATCACCATTATGTGAATAATAGTCTTTAACATTTTTATCAGTGAAACCATGATAGTTTTATTTTCATTTTCGATTTGACTTCAGAGCCCCATGGGGCCACGTGTGGCTCGCGAGCCATCGCCCCTGCCTTAGAGGAGGGCTCACAGTTTGCTGTACGGCAAACATTTAAAACCAAACACAAGCAAAAGAATCTGGGGTCACAAAGCAGAATCCTAGGAGCTGTGAGGGCGTATGCTTTTACGGGTTTCCTGGTACCCACCCTTGGTGTCTAGGAATTTTAAGAGAAGACCGATCTGGAAGACCATTCTGGAAAACCCCTAGCCCTAACTGAAGATTGTTACCGGGTGTCTGGTCGGAGGATTTTGTCTTTTTAAATTGCTACAGCTTAGTTCATTCAGTTGGCCCGAGCAGACGGCAAGCCAGAGCTGAACTCAGACCACTCACTTCGGGCTTCTCTGAAGACCTGCAGTGCCTCGGGGTCCACCTTCCTTCTGCCTCTGGACTCCGGGCCCAGGGACTCCCACTTGACCAGGTTCACGTTGGCTCCAAACTCCACGAGCAGGCTCACGAAGGCTGCCTCACAGCCATGCCGCAGGACAGCATCCATGACGCAGCCGGGGGAGCCCCTGTAGAAGCCCTGCGTGTTGACAGGGCCATTGCAGTTGAAGTCGGGGTTCGCCCCAGCCTGGAGGAGCAGCCTGAAGCATTGGAGGTTGTGGTAGGCTGCACTGATGTACAAGGGGCAGACCACCAAGGAAGTGAGGCGCCGGGAGAAGGGGGGCCGGATGTCAGGCGTCATGTGGTGGTTGACGTCAACATCAGCGCCATACCTACAGGGAGACATGGGGACAATCAGCCCTTGTGGTGGCCTGGTGGCAGTCCCAGAGGCCCATGGTGCCCTGAGCACTGGGGAGCCACAGATCACCACGGTCTCATTATTTCTGGCTGGCTAACCTGTAATCCACTCACAAAATTCTTAAGGGAATTCTTTCAAACCTTTAACTACCCAACAATCCACGGCTACTTCAACTATTAAAAGAAGGAAAACTTCCAAATTCACCTTGTGAAATCGGTAAAACAGTAATCCCAAAACCTGACAAAGACTACAATGAGTTTCACTTCTGAGTATCAACTTCAGTAAAATGTCAGCAAATAGAATCCAAAAACATTAAGAAAGCAATATGCCATGAGCTCACGAGGCTATGCCAAGAATACAAAGGTAGTTCTGACATTAGAAACTCTAGTACCATAATCCCTCGTATTCACAGAGCTAAGGGGAAAGTCATGATTACCTCTAGATGCAAAACAGGCATATGATAAAATTCAACACATGCATGTTTAAAAATACACAATAAAAGAGGAAGGGACAGCAATGTCCTTAACATGATAAAAAATATTTCCTCAACCCAGAAGGCAGCATCTTACCTCATGGGGAAACGCTAGCGGCTTTCTCACTAAATTAGCCAGGAGCAAGACACACACTCCCACATTCTGGCCCATTATTTTTAAAGGCATTTTAAATAAAGGCATTAGTGTGATTAGACAAGAAAAGAATTAGCTGATTAAGATCAGAAAGGAGGGGATAAAATTTCCTATTTTCAGAGGATATGACTATGTCTGGAAAGCCCTAAATAGTGAATGAAAATACAACTAGCAAACAATGAGAGAATTTATTAAAGTAGCAAGATGTAAAACCAACAGCTTCCACATATACAAACAAAAATAAGTCCAAAGATAAAATGGGAAAGACTTCATTTATGGTAGCAAATAAATTTTTTTTTATTAGTTTCAGGTGTACAAAACAATGCAATAGTTATCCTTTTCACCCCTAACAAAGTGACAAACCCCTCCTCCCATCCTCTACTCCCCCACCCCCATGTCATACTTATCTATTACAATTCCATTGACTCCACTCCCACACTATACTCCACATCCCATGACTATTTATGTATTAAATTATAGTTGACATATAATATTATTCAATGGCAGCTTCAGATGTACAGTGCGGTGGTCAGGCCTCTACAACTGTCTATGACGTGGTCTCCCTAGTAAGACATGAGACCATCTGGCCCCCTAAGAAATATTTACAACATTATTGATTATA